CCCCCCGTGTGTGTCCCCCACAGATCCCTACGCCTATGACCTCCCCGAGGACGTCAGCGAGGGCTTCGGGGCGTCTCTCACCTCCGTTCTGGAGCTGGCGGGTGCCCGCCCCCACAACGGTGGGTCTGGGGGGGGGCCCCGGTGTCTGGGGAGGGCGGACATGGACACGGCCCCCCCCAGGCAGGGGTGACACGCGGAGTCCCCCAGACTCGTCCCTGGGCCGTCGCATTGTGCTGAGCAGCGAGGGGTCCCTCCACGTCTACCTGCTCCTCGACGCCTCTGGCAGCGTCCGCTCGGAGAACTTCCGCCTCTTCCAGGAGTGTGGGGCTGCCATCGTCGACAGGGTGGGACATGGGGTGGGGGGGGAACACAGGGTTGGGGGACACACACCGTGGTGGGAATGGGCTGGAACCGTGGGTTAGGACCACAGGGGTGGGATGAGGTGGGACTGGGGAGGGACTGTGGTACAACTGTGGTGGGATCATTGGTGGGATCGTGGTGGGACCTTGGGTGGGGTCATGGTGGGACCATGGGTAGGACCATGCGTGGGACTGTTGTGGGATCATGGATGGAACCGTGGTGGGATCATGGTGAGACCAGGGAGGAACAGGCTGGGACCTTGGTAGAACTGTAGCGGGAGAATGGGAACCCCATGGTGGGACTATGGTGAGACAGGGGTGGTCCACAGTGGGATGGGTGGGACCACCAAGGATGGAGGAGACCGCGGTGAGAGAGGCTGGGACCACGGCAGGACCATGGGGGAGCTGTGATGGATCCTGGGTGGGATCATGGTGGGACCGCAGAGGAATGAACTGGAACCTCGGTAGGACCACAGGGACACAGGGCAGGACCATGGGGACACCATGGTGGGACCATGGAGGAGCAGGCTGGGACTGTGGTGGGGACCTGACCCCCCTCCCCACCACAGCTCAGCAGCTTTGAGGTGGCTGTGAGCTTTGCCGTCATCTCCTTCGCCAGCCGGGCCCTGGTCATTGTGTCCACGGCCGAGGATGAGTCGGCTGACGCCGACGAGGTTCTCCACCGCCTGGAGAACATGACCTTCACTGGTGCGTCCCAGCGGCTGGGAAGGGCCCCCGGCATCCGGGGAAGGGACCCTGGTGTCCGGGACCTGGCGGGTCTCCATCTCCCCATAGACCACGGCAACGCGACGGGCACCAACGTCCGCGGGGCGCTGATGGAGGTCTACCACATGCTCCTCTTCCAGAAGGCGCGGGCAGAGCGGATGGGCCACCCTGACTCCTGGCGGCACATCCGCCATGTCGTCATCCTGCTGACGGACGGTGGGGACCTGCGGTGGGGGGACAGGGACACCTGGGGGAGGGGGTGGGTCACCTGGGTGACCCCCCCTCTCGCTGCCCCACAGGCAGGTTCAACGTTGGGGGGCACCCCCGGGACGTGGTGGCTAAGATTGAGGATGTGCTGGAGATCAAGCCGGACCGGGAGGACTACTTGGGTGGGTGCTGGGGGGGGATGGGGACCTTGGGCAGATCTTGGGGACATGAAGGGTGGCTTTGGGGACCTCGAGGGTGGTGCTGGGGACCTCATGGTGGCTCTTGGGACCTCGAAGATGGTTTTGGGGACCTTGAGGGTGGTTTGGGGACGTTAAAGAGGATGTTAGGGATCTTGAGGGTGGTTTGAGGACTTCAGTGGTGGCTTTGGGGACCTTGAAGATGGTTTTGGGGACCTCGAGGGTGGTTTGGGGACATTAAAGAGGATGTTGGGGATCTTGAGGGTGGTTTGAGGACTTCAGTGGTGGCTTTTGGGACCTTGAAGATCGTTTTGGGGATCTCGAGGGTGGCTTTGGAGACCTCAAGGGTGCTTTGGGGACATTAAAGAGGATGTTGGGGATCCTGAGGGTGGTTTGAGAACTTCAGTGGTGGCTTTTGGGGACCTTGAAGATGGTTTTGGGGACCTCAAGGGTGGTTTGGAGACATTAAAGAGGATGTTGGGGATCTTGAGGGTGGTTTGAGAACTTCAGTGGTGGCTTTTGGGACCATGAAGATGGTTTTGGGGACTTCAGGGGTGGTTTGAGGACCTTGAGGGTGGTTTGGGGCCAACGCACCCCCCAAGGGCCCCCATGCAGCTCCCCACAACCCCCACCAGGTCCCCGGTCTGTGTGTCCTTGGCCCCGTCTCCCCCCATCACTGTTTGCTCTTGCGCCACTGCTGGGGTGGCCCCGATGGGCCCCTCCTGCCCGTGCGGTCACAGCCCCGTCCCTGTCCCCAGGGCCGGACCTTGCCCCCACCCCAGCCCACGTGGGGCTGGCTCTGGGCACCCAGAGCCATCCATGTCCTGGGTCACCCAACACCCTTTACGTGCCTCCAACCCCCCCTTGGTGCCCCCAGATCTGTCCTGACACCCCAAACACCCATCGAGGTGCCCCCAAGCCCCCTTTTAGGTGCCTCCAACCCCTTTTGAAATGCCCCAAGCCCTGTTCTAGGTGCCCCAAGCCCTGTTCTAGGTGCCCCAAGCCCTGTTGAGGTGTCCCAAGCCCTGTTCTAGGTGCCTCAAGCCCCACTGAGATGCTCCAAACCCCCTTTTAGGTGTCCTAGACCCATTTTGGGTGCCCCAAACCCACCTCAGATACCCCCCAAGCCCCTAATAGGTGCCCCCAACCCCATTTTTGACACCCCAAGCCCAGTTCCAGCTGCCCCCAGACCCCTCCCATGCCCCCCTGAGCCCCCCTCATCCCCCCGCCCCAGACATCTACGCCTTTGGGGTGGGGGCGCTGGAGGTGGACGTGGCGGAGCTGGCGGCGGTGGCCTCGCACCGGCGGGACGAGACCCACGCCTTCAAGCTGGCAGACGCGGCGGCACTGCAGGAAGCGCTGGAGGCGGCGCTGGTGGCCACCACCCTTGGGGACCTCTGCGGCGTCATCGTCCCCACCAGAGCCTCCCGGCCCCCCTGGCACGTCATCCTGAGGGTGAGACCCCCACTGTGGGGGGACCCACATCCCACTGGGGACCCAGGCGTCTGGGGGGGGTCCTGCACCCCAATGCCCACTAGGGACCCAGATGTTTTGGGGGGTCCCACAGCCCACTGGGGACCCAGGCGTCTGGGGGGGGTCCCACACCCCAATGCTCACTGGGGACCCCAGCATCTGGAGGGTCCCGCAGCCCACTGGGGACCCAGGCATCTGGGCCCCCTCCTCCCCCCAAACCCCCTCCCAGGGGACCCAGGTGTCCGGGACCCCCCCCGGGGGGGGGTCCCCGTCACCCATGGGTGCTGACGGTGATGCCGTAGGCAGGGCGGGAGCAGCGCTGTGCGGGGTCCCTGGTGGGGGGCCGCTGGGTGCTGACGGCAGCACACTGCTTCCTGGGGGGCCCCGCGCCCCACGCCTGGACCGCTGACCTGGGTAGGATGCTCGGGGGGGACCCCCCGCTCCCCTGCCCACCCCCCAGCCCCCCGCCCCGGGGGGACCCTGGCGTTTGGCTGATGGGGGAGTTTGGGGGGGGGCAGGGGAGGGGGAGCTTGTGCCCCTCCAGCACTGGGTGCTCCACGAGAACTTCGACGTCCGTGCTGGGGTGTCCCGGGGGATCCCCGAATTTTACGATTACGACGTGGCCCTGGTGGAGCTGGAGCGGGAGGTGGGGACCCGCGGGACCCCCAGGTGAGTGGGGGGGGTGAGGGGGCACGGGGGGGTCCCCAGGGGCACCCTGAACCCCCCTTCTCCCCCCAGGCGCGTCTGCATCCCCTGCACTGAAGACGCCAACCGGGCGATGAGGAAACCACCGGGGATGACCTGCGAGGAGCAAGGTGGGGACCCCGGCGTCTGGGGGGACACACCCAGGCGTCAGGGGGGGTACCCAGGCATCCGGGGTGCTGAGCCTGCCCCCCTGCCTGACCCCCCCAGAGGCCGAGCTGCTGGGTCGGCCCCGGGTCCCGGCTGAGTTCGTCTCCCTGGACCCGCAGAGGATGGGGGTGCAGATCAAGAGACAGGAGGCGGTGAGGACCCCGGCGTCCTGGGGGCGGGGGAGAACGCCGGCATTTGGGGGGGATCCTGGCATTTGGGGGG